TAAACAAATGCCTTGATCATTTCTAATGCTTCCATAAAATCACAATAATCAAAAGATTAAGCATGAATCAGAAGAATTAAATAAAGTTATCATTCATCCAAGCATTTAGTAAACAATGGAGGTTTCTCACAATGAGCTATGAACTAAAATGATTCACAAATGAACAAAAATTGCAAGAGAATGAATGACGTGTAAGTTGTACAAAGCCTAAGGTTCATAAACATATTATGTTCTATAAAAGTAATAAACACAAACCATAGAAATGCAACTTTCTTTAAAATTTTCACACTACCAAATGATATCAGTTTGATTGTTGTAATCAGTTAGAAATGTTTTATTTATCTATTCTGATATCTATTGTATGTGTTGTTTGTTGTTAACTTTGTTGTAACAAAAATTCGTTAATATATCAGAATATAAGGTTACAACAATTGAAAGAAGAAACTAAATTATGATGCAGAGGTTGTTCTGACATTGGGACAATTTTTCCGATTGTGTCCGGGCTGACGATACATACTGCATAATCTTATCATTTTATCAGTCGTATCCACTTTTGTTCTTATACGCGTGCTATTTAGGGGTCCTTTTTTCTTTCTTCGCATCTCATCATTATGCCAAACTATATCCCCTTGGTATGAAAGTCAATATTCCTCCATTACTAGCACTATGAAGCCTTCGTTGTAGACATTCATAATGTTAATGGCCTTGTAAACATCAGATAGATGGCTATAAGCATCCTGACGAACATGTGTGCATACCGAAATGACATGGGAGCAAGGTACACGAAAGGTAGGGTACTTGTCACAGCCACACCAATATCTTTTTAATTTGACAGCATATGATAAATTTGGCATCCCTTCATTGTGGTCTAAAAATTTGCCTATAACGGTCAAAGACTGTAGCTGGATGTGTGCTGGATTTGATAGTTTCCTCTTTCATCACTTTCATTATGCATTCACTAAATAATTGACTCGACATTAACACTGCACTCCATCTTTCGCCTCTTGTTGCAAAAAGTGATGCCAACCTATAATAGGTTGATCTCACCAATGTAATGATTGGAAGGTTTCTAATTCTTTTAAAGACGTCATTCATGAATTCCACAAGGTTTGTTGTCACGTGACCCTAACGACATCCACCGTCAAATGACCCTGTCCACTTGTCCAATAGAATGTTATCCAACCACCTTCCTGCATCTACACTTGACATTCTAATTTCGTTAAGGTAGTATTGAAATGATGGTTGAGTTAGAGCATACCCTGCATTCATAACTTTTTTGCGAAAGTTCTTGTCTTTGATTGCACGCATGAATTTTTGTACGATATGTCTAATGCAATAGACATATGTAGAAGGAGGATTATGCCACCCGTTATCATGACTATTGTAAGCACTCTCAATAGCAGCATGCATGTCTGAAATCAAATAGAGATTGGCTTGTGGAGCCACATGTGTTCTGAGATTCTAAAGGAAGAAACTTCAACCAGCATCACTCTCACCTTCAACCAGAGCAAAGACTATGGGAAGGACATTATTGTTGTCGTCTTGTGCAACTGCCATAAGCAAGGTGCCCTTGTATTTTCTGTATATCCATGTTCCATCAATTTGAATAATAGGTTTGCAAAATGCAAAACCTTTTATACATGGTTGAAATGTCCAAAAGAGTCGGTGAAATATGACATTTCCATCAACAATAGTTCCATCTGGAATACATGTTGGCACTATCTGCATAATTACAACAGTCCCCGATGTGTACGTCTTAAGTGCTACCAAAAATAACGGTAATTCTTTGTATGATGAATCCTCTCAGTTGCCAAATACTTGTTCAGCAGTCTTTGTCCTTGCAATTCACGCTTTCTTGTACGAAGGAGTATAATTATACCGCGTAACAATATGAAAGATTATTATACTCACCTTCATTGATGGATCCTTGTTAACAAGCGACAAAATGTATTGACATATCAATTCCGTGCTTAATTTTTGGTGATCCTTAACAATATTTGTGGCAGTGCAGCTGTGAGGTGGCTCTATGAAAGTTATCTTCCAAGAACCACTTCTCTTCTTGTAAGACGCAGCAAGCCGAAACATGCAAAGTTTGTTACGACAAATAATAACATACCTTCTCGAATCAGTTCAATGTACACTAAAATCAACAGAGTTATCCATGTGATATTTTTTAATGGCTCGTACAAATTCTTCCTTGATACAAAACTAGTCTCACACTTTTAATTCATTCTCTGATCGCATATTCGATTTGTAAAAAATATATAAGGATCTCTCATTATCATGCAAGTCCAAGTCTATCATAGGTTGATACAAACAATATACATGACCTGGAGGTATTGGCACTTGATCGTCATCTTCAGTGGTGTTGTTCATCAGATGATCGACCAGTGTCTTGCTTTTTTCTTCTTCGTCATCAACGTCGTTGACTTCTGCTTCGGTTTCATGTGAATATGTTGCCCTCGATGAATTAATTGTACCTTATATTGAGCTCGCTGGTTTTGGACATGTAAGCAAAATCATGCCTTACTCGGTTGATGCAAAGTTTATACTATCTTTACAAGAGAGATGGAACCCAAAGACACACACTTTCTTTTTTCCAATCGGTGAATGTACCATGATGTTATAGGACGTGTACATGTTACTCGGGTTGCGTATTGATGGTAAGGCGGTCAATGAAAAAAACCCTTTGAAAATTCAATTTATGAGGAACTTTTGGGTGTCGACTTGCTGGATCATAACCCAAGAGGCCAAGGTATCTTACTTTCGTGTCTCAAAACATGGTACAAGAGTTTAATATTAGATGAAAATTCTACCGAAGAAATGAAAATAATAAAAACCAGGTATTATCTTATAGTTTTACTTTGTTTATTTTTATTTCCCGAAAGTATTAGTTCTACTATGCACGTTATGTATTTACCGTTATTGAGAAACTTAGATAAAACAAGAGAATATAGTTGGAGTTCCGCTTGTCTGTCTTATTTGTATAGCTCTTTGTGTAAGTGTGCGAAAAAAAACATCTACTTTTTCTGGATGCGTTGTTTTACTCCAAGCATGGCGTTGGTCTAGATTGTCATTCCTAACACCCGTCAACCACAACAGCTTCTCATTCCCGTATGCACAAAAATAAGTTAATAACTTAATATTAGTTAATTCACCTTACTAATTATTGTGTCTAACTAATTTATTTGAACTTTTTGTTGTTTAGATAGTCGACTCGCGGTATGAGTTAAAATAGATGTCATAAACATTTTATCATTCAATACCGTAATCTCTTAGATCACCTTATATCTGGAGATGTAAGACCACTAAATGAATTAATTTATTTTTATATCACCCATTTTATGATCTAATATTTTTCTCTTCTTTAGTTCATTTGGCGTCCATATCTAAACATAGAACACCTACATGAAGTCAGTGAGGAAGATGCAGTCGTTTGGACTGCATGCGTGCTGATCATCAGATTCACCACTATGGAGATGCACCACAATGACCGTGTCAAACTACAGTTTGGAATGCATCAAAACATCTCAGACTACATGATTGACCTCAGTAAATTGCATATAAAAAGTTTGTGAACAATGGGATTATCCCGACTGAAAGGATTTTGCTAACTCTGAGTGTCGTAAATGGAGGAACCGCCACGCCCATGTCTTACGTGACACGGTATTGACAACCCCGTCTATACCAACTAATACTTATATGGCTTGGTACAGATCAGTTGTAACTGAGTTTATCTCCAAAAGGAGGCATTTATACGACCCACGACAAACCACCTACACACAAGAAGCTTCAACGTCTAACCCACCAGGAAATTATCGGGTTTGTTACTCGCAACCCTCTACCCAACAAAAGTACCAACCCACAAACACACAAATCCACAATCCAAACATGTCAAACACCCAACCACAATACCAATAGCGTCCCCCATACCATCACCAACAAAATAACTATTATAAAGACACCGAAAATGCATATGCCCCCAACACAACATTAATATATAGCCAAAACGCCCAAACATCATACCATAGCCATAACGCCCAAACATCTTTCCATAGCCAAAACGCTCAAACATCACACCATAACCTACACACATAAACATCACAACAACCTTATGGCTTTCAAACACCAATACAATTTCAACCTTTCACCAACGAAGCCTTCACGCTAATGTTCCTCTTCAATCGTCCAGGCCGCGCACCAATGACCTCTTCATCACATTCGAACTACTCTGACATGGGTCGCGAGCTCGATTTCAACACACAAGACTTTTTGAAAATGCAATAAATTCTTACGAATTCAGTTGAGAATGCTCCCAAGACCTCAACTCCTCAAATATCTGGAGTGAATCAACAACGAATACAACGAGTGAGGGTGCCTAGGGGATGTGGAACCGGTGACCGGTATGACCAGCCCGATCGCCAACATTAATGTATGTAATATTATTTTTAATTAAATATTAATGTTAAAAAATTTTCATTTTCCATAATTAGCGACACCTTTTAAAATTTATACTGTGTCACCAATTAAATTGATAACACCATGTGATGTGGTGTTTTCAATTCAATTAACGACATCTTTTGTTCTTTGTAAGAGATCGCCAATAAATATGACGTCAACACTCAATTAATTTCCTAAAGTAAGATATTTTAGTTAAAAATAATTTAAAAACTTGATTGTTTAGATTTTTTTTTAAAAAACTGAGATATTTGGATAAAAATTCTCAGATGTTAATGATATAAATGCATTTATAATTAACTTTTTCATGATAAGAAAAAGAATGAAATTCCTATCCTTTTACCAAATATATATATAAGAAGTGGAAAAAAGTGAGTCGGTTAACTGCCTTGAGTTTCTTGTTGTGTTATCACTGAACGACACGGGAAAGTGGAGTGAGCTAGCAACAATATCTCCACAGATTACACACCTTTCCCAACACACTCAAACTCAAAACCTCCAATAACCCCTTTCAATTCTTCTTCCAGCTACAATTTACTATTATGGACTCGCTCACTCTCCCTTTCCCCACCCTTCCCTCCGCCACTCACCGCCCAATTTTCAATCCACGCGCCGCTTTCGGTTTCCGCTGCTTCCACACCTCGGCTCATCTTCCAACGCTTCGTGGCTCGCCGCTTTTTTCCGCGAACACACTCACCGCCAATTCCGTTCCGGTATGAATTTCGTGTTGATAACTTAGGAGTTAGAAAAGTATATGTGTTCAGTTATTAGGGTTATTATGATTGGATTTAGTTTTCAACAGTTTTATGCTATTCTGCTGAGCAATTTCTGGAAATATAGTGAAATTAAAGAAACTTTATCATATTCTTGTTTATTTGTTTATTGAGAATGTAGAGTGTTTATGCCAGAATAGTTGAAATGCTGTACTTTGCAACGCTGTTAATTGTCTTCGTATTTGGTAACTGTGTTGATTGATTGTTGAGACTTTTAGGGCATGTTCATGGTTTACAAATAACTGAATTAACTTATGAAATGCACTTAACCAAACTGAAAATAACCAAATTGTTGACCTATGTTATGAAACTGAATTGGTGTGTGAGACATGGTTCAGCAACTGCACCTTTATAGCAGTTCAATTTGATTACAGAAACACCAAGGGATGAAAGAGAATGAGTGATGACATATGAGTGATTTGGTTAGAGATGGAGTGTATGATGTTAAGGTTAATTCGGTTAATGTGTGATATACACTCCAGTTAGGGTTATAATTCGGATCCATTTCCATGTGTTGAATTTATCACCGCCACGCGCTTACTGTATATACACCTCCACCGTTTCTTTCTTTGGGGGTTTTCTTATCGTTTTTAATCAGGTCAGACATTGACTTCATTTATACTCACATGAGTGTCATAAGGAGCAGTGCCTAAGTCATTCTTAAACTCCAGTTCAGCAGTGCACCTGGCTTCAATATCAGTTCAGTTTGGTTCTCATAAATTTAAAACAGTTAGGATCTGTTCTTCAAAACTATTTTGAGTTATGTTTCGGTCTCTGTATGAACTGAACCATGGCCAGGCTTAGCTTCAAGTAGCGTTTGAGCTTATAAGTATCATTTTCCTCATTTTCACCTCATGATTTTAATTGAAAAAAAAGTTAATATTAAGTAAAATAAATTTTAAGGTCATTTTATATTTATAAGTTTGTTCAACAGCTAATTTTACCAAATACCTCAGACAATTTACTAGCTTATTCACCATATGCTAACCAAAACAAAGCCTTAGTCTATGAGGACTAACAGATAGTCTGAAAACATTGTCAATTAATATATACCCACTTCAAATAGCGGTGAGTCTTTCCTATTTGGGTAGCCAAATCAATAATAGTTTGATTTCTTCTTCTTATTGTTTATATTTTGGGTCCAGTGCTGTCATGTGCTAAATGTATTAACTCTAGTTTGACATATCATGTGTTTTAACATAACGTGCAGCCAAAAAATGGTGTATACACTGTCGGTGATTTTATGACAAAGAAAGATGAATTACAAGTAGTCAAGCCCACAACAACTGTGGATGAAGGTATAATTTATACCTAGTTGAAGTCTCATTCCACAATTTGATCTTTTCTTCCCTTTTTCTTTCATAGCAGTTCGTTTGTTGGTGGATGTGAGATTCTATGTTTAAATTTCTAACATGTTATTTTGCTACAGCTTTGGACTCTCTTGTTGAACACAGAATAACTGGTTTTCCTGTGATTGATGATAACTGGAAGCTAGTGAGTTATGCCTTTCCATTTTCACTTTTGCACTTATTTGCTGATATGCTTATGTTTCTAATGTTCATAAAATACAATTTATGACTAATACATGCAATAAGGTTAAGGCCACAAACAAGGGTTAGGTTGATGTTGGACCTGTTGTGCTGGTGCGAGTGTCTTACTTTAGAGTGCCTAACTTTTTCCTCACTCAAAATCTGGTGTCTTCTAATTTATTCCTTTATTGTCAAAAGACCTAACTAATTATGGGGCTTTGGATTTTTAACAAAGGAGAATTTTCAAGACCTTCTAATTCTGATATCAGAATAATGATACCATTTTAAGAAAGCGTCAATGCGAAAAAGAAAAACAAAACTTCATTACGGTGTCACTGGCTAAAACTTCGTTTAAGCTGATTTTAATGAATCTGAAGATTCTCTATGTATAGTTCTTGTTTTATTAACTATAATATTTATTTGACACAATAATTAAGAGGATACTCCCCTAAAAGGAAAACAAACAAATATAATTTAGAAGAAAAATCTGTAGCAGGAGCCTCTTACATTAGACTGTCCAACTTTTTCCTCATTCAAAATCTGGTGTCCTCTATTTCATTCCCTTTTTTTTGTCAAATTACCTGCCTAACCACGTGGCTTTGGAATTTTAAAAGGAAGTGTTGATGGCTGAAATTCAGTTGAATCTGATTTTAATGTATCATAGGATTTGCTATATGCTTATTGTTTTATTAACTATTATACTTATTTGACACTAATAAATTACGATCTATACTCCCTTAAAAGGAAAACAAGAAATCAATTCAATAAATATAGTTTAGATGCAACATTCTAACAATTGAATCTAATAACTATTTATTTATTTATTTTGTATGACAAATTTTTAAAGGATTTTTTTAAGAGCTTCTAATACTGATTTGAGAAAAAAAGACACAATCTTAAGAAACTGTCAACCTAAAAAAACAGACGAAACTTCATTATAGAAGTGTTGATGGCTGAATTTCAGTTGAATCTGATTTTAATGTATCAGACGATTTGCTATATACTTCTTGTTTTATTAACTATTGTACTTATTTGACAATAATAAATTATGATCTATACTCCCATAAAAGGAAAACAAGAAATCAATTCAACCGATATAAGTTTAGAATCTGATAGTCGTTAATATCTCCTTCTAACAATTGAATCTGATAGTTAATATTATTTTTCTCCTGTGTCATGGATTGAACTCATGACGTACAACTCCTTTAATCCTTAGCTTAACTAATTCAAATCAGTTGAGCTGCCCCTCTCACCCACTGATAACAATGTCATTTTATTTGCTTATAGCTTAGTTTGTAGTATTCTTCATTGATATAAACAAATTTGATGCGATTAATTCACCACAATATTGCATGATTGTCATCAAAATTGTTTCTGAATTGTTCTTTATTCTCTGCAGGTTGGTGTTGTTTCTGATTACGACTTGTTAGCACTGGACTCTATTTCAGGTAGTTTGATCTTTTTCTAAAAACAACTGATCTTCTCTCATTCATTACAAGCTTGATTTTCACCACATTCAGAAACTTATAACATTTGCATTTCAGATTGAGGATATACTATAGACTTTGTTTTGGCATTTTTAATCTGTTTCTATTCTCAAGTTGGGATTCTAAACTAAAATAAACTGTCCAATACTCGTTTCAGGTCATGGGAAAACAGATAATAGCAGCATGTTTCCAGAAGTTGACAGTACCTGGAAAGTATGTTAAAGCTTCTTTCACTTCCAGTTAATTCTTATTTATTGGTGTTGTATTTTTATATTTATAGACTTCGACGCATATCCACATTAAAGACCCAGAACTTTGTGTTGTTAATACTAAATATTACCCAACATGTGGAGTCTTGCTGACCTGATGTTTTGGTAGTCAGAATTACTGCAGGAAATATTCCAGTTCAAAATTCTGTCACAGTAATCTCTCTCACTTCTAAAACATATTATAAACAAGTCCGGTCAAGTGTATGTATATCTTCTAAATGCTTTTTTTATTTTTATTTTTAAATTTAAACAACCAATTTTAATATTGTTAGCACTCCTTTTCTCATCCACCCCAACCGCCAAATCAACTTTAATTCCCATTTTTTATGCATATTATATGAATGTGGTTTAGTTAAAAACACCTTTTTAAAATAGGAGGAAAATGAAGATGCATGTGTGTATGTGTGAAAATCTTTCACAATAGTTGCCCCCTGACCGATGTTGCCCTTGTGTTGAGAAGCCCGAGACATTATTTTAAACCTTCTGCTGATGTTGCTTCTGTAGGCATATCACTTCTCGTTTGCCTCATTCGCCTTTATTTAATTTGGAAAAAATCTCAAACCCACTCTTCATTAACTATGGTTGGGAAGGAAAAACATTAACTGCATGCTTATCAAAGAAGAATGGATGTTGATATAATATAAAACATGCCATAGAGGCACGCACTACATGAACAAAGCCTTTTTCTTTTAAATGTTCATGTTCCATAGATGGTAGTATGATATGGACCTCTAGTTCTACTGATTAGGATTAGTTATGCTAATTAGAATTTATTATTTTATTTAATTTTAATAAGTTAGTATTTAGAATTTTTAAATTTGAATTTCATTATTTTTAGGATAAGATTTAGGTTAAAACAGAATCTACCTATTAACTAGAATTGTTATCATTTAAATTTAAATGATAGTAATTTTAGGAAAAAGTAGTGATTAACCTAATTTAATTAGGGATTCTTATTCTACTGTAAGCCTATCTAAAGGCACTCAAATTAGCAATAAAATTCATCAATAATTATTATCAAAAATACTTGTGAATTTAAGAAGAGACTCTGTCAAGGGCGAGTCCGCTTCTACCTTCACTATAGGTCGAAAGAAGGCGTCTACCGCGTCTAGGACTGTGTCAACACGTTCCTAGACAAGGGACCATAACAATTTGGTATCAGAGCCTAGTATCTTGAATTTGAGCTTGAGGACAAGCTCAATACTGAGAGGGGAAGTGATGATATGGACCTCTAGTTCTGCTGATTAGGATTAATGATGCTAATTAGAATTTATTATTTTATTTTAATAAGTTAGTATTTAGAATTTTTAAATTTGAATTTCATTATTTTTATAGAGCATTACAATAGTTTATATAGAGTGACACCCCTCACCTTATCAACCGGTTTTGTAAGGTTGTGTTAGGCCAAACTCTAATATGGTATCAGAGCCTATCGATCGAACCTTGGACAACCCACTGTTTAAATCCATGCACCAAGCCCAAAAAGAGTGCTGGGCGTGAGGGGGTGTATTAGGAAGATCCTAAAGTCCCACATTGGTTGGAGATAGAGCATTGCAATAGTTTATATAGAGTGACACCCCTCACCTTACCAACCGGTTTTGTAAGGTTGTGTTAGGCCAAACTCTAATAAAAACAGAATCTTCCTATTAAATAGGATTATTTTCATTTAAATTTAAATGATAGTGATTCTAGGAAAAAGTTGTTACTGAACTAATTTAATCAGGAACTTTTCTTCTATTGTAAGCCTATTTAAAGGCATTTAGATTAGAAATAACATCATCAATAATTATTATCAAAAAGTATTTGTGATTTTAAGAAGAGGCTCTGTCAAGTACGAGCCCGCTTCTACTTTCACCATAGGTCGAAGCAAAGCTTCTACCGCGCCTCTAGGACTGTGTCAACACAATCCAAGACAAAGGGACATAACATAGTATTTGCATTAAGCTAGATGTTGTGCATTATGTGAAGCTATTTTTATAACTAGTAATAATACAAGGTCTTAAAGGTGAATTTTGCTAATCTCACTGCTTTGCAGACTTTCAACGAGGTTCAGAGGCTACTGAGTAAGACTAATGGAAAGGTGATTGGTGAATTAATGACCACTGCCCCAATGGTCGTTCGGGAGACCACCAATCTTGAGGATGCTGCTAGGTTCTTCTATCCTTTTCCTCCATGTCTGTTCATTTTAAAAACATGTTTTATTTTTATTGTTTTCACTATATGAACAAGGTCACGGTAAAAAAAAATCTTCAAACCTGTTTGTTTGTATGCATACTGTCAATGTTTTTTAACTGTCACTAAACTTCAGATTGTTGCTGGAAACAAAGTTTCGACGCCTTCCAGTTGTAGATGCTGAGGGAAGATTGGTACAGAAAATTCTGCTCTTCTTTTATCTTTGATTTTTATTCCTTGTTTTCATATTTGTAATGTTTGAAAACATGTTTGTAATGGTTAATGTTTTCTATTTTTAACGTCACATGAAGGTTGGGATTATCACAAGAGGAAATGTTGTAAGAGCTGCACTTCAAATGAAACGAGAAAGCCAAAAGAAAGCATGATAGGATCTAGAAGATCAATCCAAAAATATGTTGCTTGATTTAAAGAAGTGATTCAATTGAAGTGTTCACACAAGCTTTGCTTGGATTAGAAGTAAAATTTTGGCTTAGGCATGTATATGTTATATTATTATATTGTTTTGGTATCACACAGAATGTTTGTCATGGACAATATTAAGAAAGAAAAATCTCAATGTTCACATTTGACAAGGACCACCTTGGTGATAATGATGTTGAAATGTGAATTTGTTGTATTAATCATGTTCCACGGACTAAGGATAAACTCCAGACACAAATATCAACCAACATTAATCTTGCTTCTATTGACTATAAAATTAAATAAATAAAATCTTTCTAAATCTTTTATGTGGTTCAGCTGAAAGGATGATAGCTCTTGCTTGGCCCATCACGTTTGAGACTAACAGACTGGGGCCTGCTGCTTTATATTTTAATTTGTAAGCAAGGATAATTATGGGTCTTTTCAAAAATATTTTTTGTTTTGATTTACCGATAAGACTGAAAGATATTTTTAATATAAAATATTGTAATGCTGGTTAGAATAATACATTTTGAATATATTGAAAATATTCTTTTTTTGCCTTTTTATTTGTTTGTCTACAATTGCAAGTCTTTTTTGTATTTTTGTTAGCACACAAAAACTACAATTTTAAAAAAAGAAAAAAGTGTGATTAAATTGTTATATAATTTTATGTTAGGACATTTTTTAAAAGTTAATAATTTTTATATGTTAAAATATAAATTTCAACCTCAAAAACGTTCTTTCCAAATAGATCATTCTCGTATTTCTTTTAACCCTTTGATTTTTATGAAATGAAATAAAAGTAATTTAAGTTAGAGTATGGTTAAAAATATGATCAGTAATTATGTCTATGCTTGAAATTTATGTTCAATTTTACTTTATAAAATATATTAATAAAATTACTTTTCATTCAACTCAATTTTAAGATTTGATATGACATTAGACAACTTTTTTTTTTGCCTAAGATACAAATTATCAAAAATATTAATAAAGTTAATTTTTTAAAATTTTTTACTTCAAAAATATTATTTCTATTTATTTTTCACTTTTCTAATCTCTCTTTGTTTTCTTTCAAATATTCATTCTACATTTTTATATATATATATATATATATATATATCTTTAACATCTTCTATATTCTTTTTTTTTTCTCATCCACATATATATATATATATATATATATATATATATATATATATATATATATATATATATATATATATATATATATATATATATATATATATATATATATATATATATATATATATATATATATATATATATATATATATATATATATATATATATATATATATATATATATATATATATATATATATATATATATATATATATATATATATATATATATATATATATATATATATATATATATATATATATATATATATATATATATATATATATATATATATATATATATATATATATAGTTTTTCAAATGGATTGAGCATGAAATAGAAGAATAGAAACTATTTTTTTTATATTGTTATGTACCTGTACAGTGTACTTATAATTTTGCAAATTAAACAAAGGCCATCTTGATCAAAATTAATTAGCTAAAAATCAATTGTTATAACTCTAAAACCAAAAGCACGCCAATTTCAATTAGGCTTGGATATACTTGATGTCAATTTATTTTTCGGTTCACCCTTTAAAAAAATCTTTATTTGCTACCTAATTTTGACCATTCATGTCATTTTGGTACCTTTCATTTTAGAAAAAAAAACATCTTGATAAACGAGCTTTCGTTTCTTGTCTATTTCACCAAGTTTTCAATTTAACATTTGTCTTTTACCATATCCCCACCTTTCTGTAAATTTTTTTGTTCTATCTCTTTTGTCCGGTTCAATCACCTATGAATCTTTTTGATTAACTTTTCACAAATTACTATTAATTAATTAAATAACACCACACTTACGTCAAGCTCGATGTAATCCACAGTACATACACCACACCACAACCAAAAAATTAATTATAATCTCTAATCCTCCGCTAATGATGGATTAATCCTATTCCTTAGCTACAACATAGAAGGGCTCAAGATAGATAATCCTATTATGGGATACAGCTCAGATCAGACTCAAACTCAATCACTCAAATAACAAAAAAAATTCTCTTGCTTAATTAATTAAGCTTCACATGGAAACATATCTTTGTGTTAATTTTCTCTTCTTTTTATGTTCATTTTTTTTTATCATATAGTTTTCGATACAATTGTTGTGAGGAGATATTGACTAAAAAATAAATAATTTGTGACGACAAAACCGATTAAACCGACCCCATTATCAATCGTTATCAAAACAGAAGAAAGCAGTGGACAGAGCATTTTCATTACTGGCCCATTTCATTTTCATTTCTTTCCCCTTCACAAATACAATATTATTCTGAATTGGAAAATAGTGAAGAACCAGAAAAATACCTAACACTCAATCTTATCACTTTTTTTCAGTACTTATATATTGCTTTAGTGGTTAGCATGGCTCACTCTCTCCTTTGCACCCAACTACTTAACAACATAGGCCATTCATGTCTTACTATTTTTTTTTATTTAATTATTTTTATGACAAGTCCCTACCCATTTATATAATTATTTTTCTCATCATTCTTAAAAGAATCACCTCACTCATTGAAACCCATCATGTTCCCAACTTCATTATTTCAACCGAATTTATTTCTTTATAAATGAAAACAAAGTTTTTTTTTAAGATAAAAAATCAGAATCAAAAGAGAATATAAAAGAAGATAAGAAATTAATCAATATAGCCCAACAAAAGATGAAGGTTACAAAAGTGAAGGATAAAATCATTCCAAAGAAAGGAAAAAAACATCAAAAGAAACATAAAGTTTCTCGTCACTACTACTACTAACTAATAATTATTATTATTACTATTATTAATTATTAATTAATTTACATTTAACATTTTAACAATGCCAAAATTTCTTCTGTAAAATCTTAATAAAAAAAGTACCAAAGAAAATAAAAAAAAAAAAAGAAAAAACAGAAACAGTACTCTAATCCACACCACCAACTAACCAAAGGCTTCATCAACAACATCATTACTTTTGCTTCAGCCGTCACATAACCTCCACGGCGCACGTTAGCAACAACCCCAAACGTGAAATTAAAAAAAAAAGAAGAATCGCTTTTTTCGATTTTTTTTCTGATTTTTTTTCAACTAACTTCCCACTCACAATCCGAATTCTCCGGTTCAGGAATCTTATTCAAATCAACACGCTCCACTAAATCGCCACCAGCACCACCAACCACCACCGGCATCGGCATCACACGGTGGTTATGGTTATGGTTATGATGATTGTGATGATTGTGATTATGATGATGTTGATGAAGCGTAGCTTGAAGAGCATCAACCCTAGCACCAACCTCAGTAGCTTTCTTCCTAATCGAAGCCGCCGACATATCACCAGCACCAGCACCAGCAACGACGGCGGCGTTTTCACCAACAACTAGCTCCGGGAAATTAAGACGCGCAGACGGTCCCCGGAGATAGAAAACAGCGGTGTCGTAAGCTCTAGCGGCGGCGACAGGGGTAGAATAGGAACCTAACCAAATTCGAGAACGTTTATTCGGTTCTCGAATTTCAGCCACCCATTTTCCCCACTTTCTCATACGAATTCCTTTGTATCTTCTCTCACCTTCCACAACGACACCGTTTCGCTTCCTTGTTCCCATAGTTTCTCTCTCTACTTTCACACCTTCACCTTCCATTGTTATTGTTCTCTCTCTAAAATTCGTTGTTAATGGGAGAGAGAGAGTGAATCTTCATGAAAACTGAAAAATCTAACGAGTAAAAGACACGGTTGAGTTTGTAGAGAGAGAAACTGAAGCTCTTATTGTTCTCTCTCTCTCTCTATCTCTATCTCCCACTAAACTTTGTCATCTGGGTAAGCCTCCACGTTGGTTTGGTTTTTCTTTTAAACTCGAACTTTTTTATATTTTAATATTAAATTGATTACCTATAAGATAATTACTCTTTTTTTATTTTTATTTTTATTATGGAAATTTAATTCACCGACAAACTCACTCGGATTTTTTTTTTCCTATAAAAAACAAAATGTCCTATTATTAATTGTTTATTTCATTTCTATATTTTCCTTTGGTTCTTTGTATTTACTCCTTACTTTTGAAAATGAATACTACCATTTAAATGAATATTTGGTTTTGGGATGATAAAGAAACTTATCTAAAAGTTAGTCAAATAATCTAAGTTGACAGATAAGTCAAAATTTGAAAATTATGTTTAAATATATAAATTATAGATTATATAATATAAATTTAATTTAAAAATAATTCTACATACAATCAAAATGTATGTATTAAAATTATATTTATGCATTTATATTTTGAGTACAAATTTAATCTTGAAAATATAGTTTAAGTTTTCTAAACAGTAATTCTATCATTCATTAATCCTTATCATTTTAAAGTTTTTTTTTTTTTGAAATATAAAATTTATTAATAAATATAGATTAAACTTTTTGCACAATTAAAATATATAATTAATATGCGAAGTTCATGACACTTTTTCATGTTTGTGTTAATTATTTTCTCGGTTCATTTTAATTATTTTATCTCTAACCAAAACAGTAATAATTAATGAAAAGTCATGACAAAATATCTAGCGTAAGAATATCGACATTTTGATTTTTAATAAAAGGTATTTAAAAAAATTACTACTTTTTTCTTTAAAATACAAATAAATAATCAAGTATAAAAAATTTGCATTAAACATTGTACATTCCATTTTTTTAAAAATCAAGTTTGTCATTTTTTTATAAAAAATTTATTTGATATACTTATCAATTTGCTTACTAAAAGTTCACAAAATTGAATGTATTTAAAGACTGCTTGATACGTAGAATAATAAATAATAAATAAAACAATACATAACAATATTAAATAGTACAAAATATATTTTTTGTATTTTTATGTGTTTGATTGTCTGTGGGTTTTATTAGATATGAAAGAGAGAGGTATTTTAAAAAATATAAAAATAATATTTTGATTTTTTATAAATGTGTATTTTAAAAAAAAATTATCTGAAACAAAAATTCATGTTTATTTTACCAATTTTAATTTATCTCTTTTGTCTTAAACTTCACTCTAAGTAAAAGTCATCTGTAATCCTTAGTTTTTTTTTTAAATATCAACACATTCTTAAAAACTTGTTTAAACAATATGATATATTTTTAAAAAATTAATTCCTATCACTGACTGTATAAAAAGTTTTATATTGTTAATTTATTATTATCATCTATTTATATTATTTTATAAGTTATTAAAATAAAAAATTACACTATCTTTTATATTTAACATTGATAACTGTTCGTGTATTTTAATTAAATTTTATTTTTTAATTTTAAAGTTTAATAGACAACAAAATTAATAGTTTTTCAAATTTTAATACTATCTTTTAAGAAGTAACTTATTTTAATATTATTATATTTTAACTATATTTTACAAAATTATATAATCTTAATTATATTTTTTGTCATGCTATTTTAACTAAATTACTGAATTAATTTTATTATTTTAATTATTTTTGTTTTTTTTCTTACATACTTTTCCATTTAAAATTGGAATATGTCTAATTTTAAATAATGTCCCACTTATAAAATATGAAAAATTATTATACGAAACCTTTATGAAATTTTACAGATATCAAACAAGATACACTATTAAAAAACAAATATGTTATCAAATGTGCAAAAATGAATCTCTAAAGATAAAAGAATATAAGTGACATGTAGTTAAACGATAACATCATCAATATTTGATATACAAGTATAATAAGAGGCCAAATATTTGTGAATTTATAGCTATAAATTCATGAATGGTCTAAAATAGGGGGTAAAGAATATAATTAAATCTAATATATATTATACGAAAGTTAATGTAGATTATAGTACATAAACTATAAATAAAAAAAAGTAGATTATAGTACATAAACAAAAAACAAAATATTTTAACAATGCATAATCATAAAGTAATAATATGATAATAAAAATTATTTATATTTATTTAAATAAAAGAAAATTTGTGCGGTTCCCCATATATTGTTTAATACATTTTTAATGACAACGAATTTAGCTAAGATATTTGTTAAATCTTAAGTTTTATTATATCATTTTGGTGGAGTTGCAATATGGTCAACCACACCAATTATTTCTTAAGATTTAACAATGTATATATATTCACAATAAAATTAATTTTATTAAAAATTATTTCTTAGAATTATTCTTACAAATCAATATATTAGATGGATATCTTTATTTTTCTAAATTCAACGGGTGTAGAGGCTATTGCAAGGTTAAATGATAAATTAATAGCATGCTTGGTATTTGGTTGATTTCATATATAGAAATATTTAAAATGATCTCTTAATATATCTACCGTCAATATATTTTTAAAAAAATACATTTGATAAATATATTCTAAAATATGCTAATTTATAGTTACATTTAAAATTTAAAATAAATGTTTTTTTAAAAAAATTAACTGTTGTTGAGGCTGTTGCAAGGTGTAATGATCTAAATTCATGACATGATTAGTACTTGGTGTCTTAGCTGAAAAAACAACAGAGAAAAGCATTTCATCTCCTAATTATGAAGACATGTGCATGATTTCAAGTTGATATATATATATATATATATATATATATATATATATATATATATATATATATATATATATATATATATATATATATATATATATATATATTTGTGAGAGATAGTAATTAATTTGTTTGAATCAAAGATTAATATTCTTGAATACTTATAATAAATTAATGTTAAATTAACGTATCTTATCGGTCTAAATTGGATTATGATAAAATAAAAAATGATAGTGTATCTATCTATCTTTCTATGTTTTTAAAAGAAGAGTTGTTGCCGTCAGGCATGATTTAAAAAACAAAAACAAGTTGGAATGTGTTTGTTAGTGGCACAATAATAAGATTTAAATGAATGGCAATCTGGTGTATGAAGTGGGTTCGTTGGTGTCTTGACATGATTAATGAAAAAAAAGATTTAAAGGAGAATTAAAATGAGGGCGAAGAAAAGTATATAGTATAAATAAAAAAGAATTAACATCATTTTCATAATTATTAAGTTAGTATTTAAATAATTGTGAGTGGGCATAGAGTTAGGTCGGTGGTCGGTGGATAGATACCGTTAGCAATTGACTTTTCCAGTACGCAATAAGAAGAGGACAAGATTGTCTATTTTGTCCTTTAAATACTTTTGTTGTCATGCACATAATAAAGGGTTTTTTCGATATCTGGAAATTCAATGGCCCATACTCTAACCTAGTTGCCCTCTTAATCATATTAATGGGCGGTTTAATTTCCTATTAGTACCGTGTCTTTCCTTTTTTATTATTCATACCCAAACTATATTCATCTTTATTTCTTCCAATTTCTAATTTCTATGTGTCGCTCTCTTTTCTAATTTAAAATAAAAAAATCTTCAAAATTAAAAAGAAGAGATTTTAATCCAAAAGAGAAGGGATTATACATGAAAATATAATTTTTGTAGATATGTTTTTTTTCTTCTTTCAAATTTGTTAAATTATATAAGATTATTGTTTGAGATAAAAATAGCGGAGGAAGATCAAGTTGTTGGATAGATTTGAGTTTTAAGAAATGATAAAAAATGATGATAATGCGTAAATTTGAGTTTTTAAAGATGATAGTGAATTTGAGTTTTTATGAATGATAGAAAATGAAACAGACGGATAAAAAATATTTTAATGGATGAAAAAGATAATTGGAAAAAAGGTTAATGTTTTAAAAAAGAAAAAAACAAAAAGTTAATAAGTTATTAGTAATTAATATTGACGGTTGAGATTGGTTTCACTCGTTTTATAAGATAGATTCTAGTATTTTTTGGTTGGATTGGTGTTATGTAGTTTTGCTAGGAGGGTTGGTTGTTATTGTTTGTTTGGAGGTTCATTTCTCTTTTTTTCTTTGACAAATTTTTGGGTTAAACACCATTAGTGTTTTTTATTCAATCCATTTTGTTTATAAATAAAATAAAATTGATTGTTGAATATTTATATTATTAAATCAATGGTTAAAAATACAATTGTTCCATAGTAGTAAAAAATCAATTGTCCCAAACTAAATGTCACCTATTTTATTATGTCGATTGCACCAAAATTTATGAAGTATTGTGTGTTAACAAAGTTTTACATAATGTTATATATTTTTTTATTTTTCATATTTGCATATTGTTTTTTATAATGGTGTAGTTGGAAGGACTTGTTGAGAATTAAGAATTTTATGAAAATGGGAGTGAAGAAAGTTTAGAGAAGGAGAAAAATGAGAGAATTATTCGACTCGTCTACATAATAAGGGTACATGATGATCATATATAGTTATAATGTGTTTTTATATTATTTATCATGCATTATCAACCACGTGAATTTCTATATTATTTATCATGCACTATCAACCACGTGAATTTCTATAACAGAATTTTGAATTTTTGTTAAATTAGTTACAAGTTAAGTCTAACTAACTTAAATAACACGTGCAATAAGTAATATTGCTAAATTTCATGATTAACTCATCCAATCAATTTAAATCACTTTGATCTTTCTCTAATTATCATTTAACACCCTCCCACAAGATTGACCATTATAAATATTTATCATTTCAAGCTTGGATGTAAAGGTCTTGAATTTTGGTGGAGGTAAAGTTTTGG